GACATCATCAGACTTTCTGCAGCCGGAGGAACGTTAACATTTCACTGCTTAAAAGACATAGAAAAGAGCATGTTTTTCACGGACACAAATTAAAGGGGTGGTTCACTGGGTTTTTTCTAGGCTTGATTGTGTTTATGGGGTGCAGTCTAACATGTGTTAAGAAAGTGAAATCGCAATCAACCACCCCTTTAATCAATAGTTATCATACAGTAAGACTATAGAGCTAAAAAAAATTATGAGAAATGTTGGAGTTCATATTGAGATCTGTGACTTTAGTAGGCCTAGCTTTAGCCTATATGGTAGAAATAGTAAGAGTCATTTCAATAAACTGATTCAAATAACGAATTCATTTGAGCCATCAGTGTTCACACTGTCCCTAATTTGAAGTCTGTTTTGTACTAAGTTAAAATGTTGTAATTACTTTTAATTATGAGGGGCTAACAGTTGTTTGGCAAACTACACGTCAGAAAGAGCTTCAACGATGATTACATGCCAAGTTCCACATGTTCAACCAGTCAGAAAGTGTTCGTCTGTGTCAGGTGATCACGTCTGAACATGAGCTTTGAATTTTATTGGAATCTCTGATTCAGTCATCTACCTCATACTCTCACTATAACTATGATTCAGATATAATTACATGAAACGGCATGAAATCCAGAGGTTTTGTGCTATAGCTCTCTGTGCAGTTAGTGTGATTCAGACACACAAACCATGAGAAAATACCAGTAATATGTCACGAAAAATTTAAAATATTATCGTCCATTGATATAATAAAATTGATATCCTACTTTACGTGTACACATATACTCAAGTAAAGAAATTGATTTAAAATTAATTTAAAACAGTTAAAAAATAGAAAATGAAATGAATATGCTATATATCTATTTTATCTTTATTCTCATACAGTACACTCGAGTAATGTGATATGCATAGCCTACCTTATAGCAAATACGAGCTGCTTGATTTTTAATTTTGTCGGAAAACGTAATATTATCGCCTAGCTCTTTATATAAAGTTGTATATATATATATATATATGTATGTATGTGTGTGTGTGTGTGTGTGTGTTAAACTTTATTTGCATACGTACAGTATATTCACATAAAACAATACAGCCTATATCTGATATACCAAATCTCAACTGCCTAATTGATTGTATCGTTGCAAAATATTAACTATTAATATTTAGCACAGAGCTCTAAATGCGACTAGCCTATTATAAATGGGCCTTTTCTGTTTTTATCTAAAATCGGAAAACTTTTTATGCATTTTGGCGATTCACATGACAACGCGTTTTCAGGGCCAGAAAACGCAAACTTTTGAAAACGGGTTTCAAAATGCACGTTTTTGAAAACCATACCGTTATCGTCAACGCGAATTAGTAAAATCGTCATGCGCATGCGTATTAGCTACGTTTTCAATCCATATAGGAACGCTTATGTGTGCGGATCCGCGTTAACTTATAGACTGAATAACAACAACAACAAAAGTGCCACATTTTTGATGCATTATGACAATTTAAAATAAGAAAAAAAGATAGATTGTAATCTTATTTTGTGCTTTTCTTTTCTTTTGTTGTTGTTTTTTTCTGTGTAGATAATGCTATAACTTGATGTGCGCAAACCCATCTATTAGTAGTATAGATGGGTTTTAGTAGTATTTATTTATTTATTTGTAGGAGAAACAACCATGTCTCATTTCACTGTTTTTGTATTTATTCATAAGTTCCGCAATAAATAATTTAAAAAATAATAAATATGTGCCGCGGATCCGCGTGAAAGGGTTCATTTCGACAACATTGTTGTTTGTACGCGAAACTTGCGTTATTAGTACGTCGGTGTCGCGTAAACGTACCCCAAGGCTCGCAGATATTAGGATTAAAAAAATTATATTATTTTCTGTAAAGCTGCTTTACAGAAAATAATACACCTTTCTCTCCCGCGACAGCCCTGTGCAGTTTTACAGGCAGCACGCAAACTGTACAGTGAGTGTTATCTGTGGACTCTAGTTTATGAACTTTTGTGAAAACGAAACCAAGGAGACGGCGCACAGGTCGCTGTGGAATTCTGCTGCGGAGGCTAAAATAAAGCGCCATTAGCATTGAAATCTGCTCTGAATGTGAGCTTCCTTCTGCAGTGATTGATTCCTCAAAAACATGAGAATTTCCCCTCGCTTCGGAGCCGAGCTGCTTCCCCGAGCGCTCCGGTTGTCCCGACACCAGCTGCAGAAATAACAGTTTCCTGGAGACACGGAAGAACGTTTATGAGACTATCACAGATTTTACCGGTTTAATTTGACTATTAAATACGCCTATGCATAATCTTAACTTGAAACACACAACAGTCATAGAGAAGCTGGGATATTAAACAAATGTCATAATATCATGATTTTAACAAGGTTTTTATTCCCACAATCAAACCTCTTGTGTGTAGCATAGGCTATGTGATGTTTTTTTTAAGAGTGTGTTCATATCTACAGACAGTATTTACATGCATTCCTTTAGCAGACACTTATCCAAAGTGAATTTACAGTGAAAGACACATTGAGGGAATCCTGGGATTGCTGCTGAGTCATCCATGATTAAAATCCCCATCATTACTAGAGACTCATTCTCTTCTCTCCATCTCTGCATGATGTCATGTTTATGGATGAGTGGGTGGGAAAACCTGAAACCTGTGCAGACAAATGAAACACCTCAAATAGGCCTACTCTCACACAAATGCATCATGTATTAGTAATTTAGGCACATAAAGAAGGTTTTATATAAAATGTAATGTAATTGCGAGAATGGTTTTTGACTCTTAAGTGGGAAGTGGACAGTCCAGAGGTAACAACAAATCACAGATCTCTTTGAAACCATCAGAAACACACGATGTTATTTTTACTTTTGTATTTATGCATTCGGTAGATGGTTTTATTCTACGTGACTCATATGTTAATTTCAAGCTATACATTTTAGCAGTCCATATATTTCCTGGGAATCAAACCTATAATCTTGGTGTTGCTGCATGTCACCATGTTGTATGTTTGAGCTACAGGAACACTATTATATATAAAATACACTATTATTGACTTTAACAATGAAACCCACTTTATAATTAATTATAAAGACAATAAAACTGATATACATTGAGTGCACACACTGTTAAAAACATTATTTTTCAAAGTTGTAATACGTTTTACAAGAAAATGCCATTTCAGATTTTCTGCTTTAAAGTTTCATGTTTAATTCTTTGTGTTATTTGCTGTTCCTTCTGTTTGTTTTTTTTTTAAATTAAATTTCATAGCATTTTTTTTAGTGTAACATAATATGCAAATTAAATCAAACATATTAGAACTATTAGAACTAAGTAATAATAAAACAAAACCAAAAATACAATAAATGCATAAACTAGGGGGGGAAAAATATATATATATATATATATATCATTTTGCATAATTGTGAGATATCAGCAGTCAGATTCAGGAAATCAACATATTTTAAAAACTGCCCAGACTGAGTGACTCCTGATTTACATTTATGCATTTGGTGGAAAATGTGACTTCATGATTTATATTTTATCAGTCTGTATGTTGCATATACATGGGATCGTCAAAACCATCAGCCCAAAAAATACCAGCAAAACCATTTCTAAGCATAACCGGACCGTGACGGATCCTCATGTGACGTGTGGAGAGCTTGAGGCTTCATAAACCCTGAGTGGCAGTACGCAGACACTATTAAAAGTTGCATAAACGTTGTGAGAAGGTTGTAAAAGTGTTGCGGGAAGCCAGTGTGGGCAGTGAGAGCGTTTGGCTCGAGGATCAGGGTGTGTCTGTGGTCACAGACTTTGAGGAGAAACAGCAGCTGGAGGAGAGAAAAAGAGCTGGAGGAGCTGGAAGGTCTTTGAGGGTCACAAGCATCAGAGCGGAGGAATCAGCCTATGAAACAGAGAATATGGACAGAAAATGAACAGAAAAAAGATCAAACATCTACAGTGATTTTTGCAAGAACAAGAAAAAGAAACGCAGATGACAGCAAAGAAACTGAGGAGGTGAGACTATAATTTTGTCCTCACAGTGGGAGCGTTTGTCTGCCGTCCAAGTCCAAAAAACCTTTTTCACTTCAAGCTGAATAAAGTTCCTCGGCTGGAGACTGTTTTACTTGGAGATGAATGGAATGGGAATGAGAATCAGAGGGAAAAGAGGAGAAAGGAGGAGCAGAATAAAAAAGAAAAAAGATGTCTAGGAGAAATCATGTTGAGGAGCGAGTTCATTTCCCTAATAAACTTTTACCAGATGCACACAAACACCTACATCCCAACTAACAAAAATGAGTTCTAAGTTTGGCTAGCGTTCCCATTGAGTCATGAAAACGTTCATTCTGAATGTTCTCTGAACATAGATTTTAAATGTTTAAAAAAGTTTTGGTTTTTTTGTGAATATTAGAAGAAAACATTAAGTGAATGTTCCACTTTGGCATTTTCAAACATTATGGGAACGCTACTTTTGAATGTTGAAACTAGCTATTAATGTTTTGTTTTTTTTAAAAGATGGACCAATGTCCAACTAATAAGCTTCCATAAGCTTTTGTGCTAACGTTTTGAGAACAGATAACTTTGAACATTCTATTAACGTTACTGGAAGAATGTTTGTTCTAACTTTAAGAGAACCTTGCCAGAACGTTAGCTAAACTTTAGAGAATGTTCCCTGTTAGCCGAGTAGCACAAATAACCTCCTCACCGTAAACACCTTCTGCCCACAGTAAACATCTGTTCCTCTGCACAAAGACACCTCCTCCTTAAACTCTTCATAGACTGATAGCAGATACTCTGCGTTGGGGAGCTTCGTGTTCAGAGGTTGAATGTCCCTGAAGGTCAAGGGCTCATGAGGGGTCATGGTTGATCCAGGATTAGAACGGAAACGATCCGTGTGGAATTAATTCATCCTGGACTTTTTGAGAGTGACTTGGACTTGCTTTCAAGGGCGTGTGTTATCATTTCATATTTTACACGTTCACAAACCTCCTGTGAAATATTTGCACTCTTTTTTTTAATGCCTCTCCGAGTCTTTACTGAACAAAAGTCAACTCTGTTTTTCAGATGTAGGCGCTGGTCTGTGATTCTAATGATTCCGTCCGTTCACCGTGCGCATGCGCTGAGCGGTGGCGCGTCTGGTCTGGAGTTTATTCATCAACGCTCTGAAACTTCGGTATTATTCTGCGTTTAAGGTAAGTTTAAATGTGTATAACGTTAAAATAAAATAAAATTGGGATTTGAATGGACATTTTATCAGACTAATGTGGAATATTGGTTATTTTATTAGTTTATGAGTTCGGTTATTGTAAGTAAACAAACGAAAGGTTTGGCGCTGAACTGAAGACTGAAGGAACGGTTACAAGTTATACTGACATGGTTCAGTTATTAGGGAGTCTCCGAAGATAGACCGACAGGTTATAAATAAACTGACAAGTTATACTGACATGGTTCAGTTATGAGGGAGTCTGTGAAGAAGGTGGCGGTTAAATAAATGTCGAGACAAAATACTTTTTCACATTAGGTTACAGGTACAGTATTTGAATGAGATGTGAGGGGTGAATTAACTTAATTGTTAAAAATCGTAATAGTTCTAATAGGCTTATTTTTCTTTCTTTTGATTTTGGGGTGAAATGTGAACGGTTTAATCAAATCATTTGAACGTCAATCTGTCAAACATAAAAAAATAATAATATTAAAAAGTAATGATGATAATAGCATGTTGCCAGGCTGCCAAGGTTTTGCAATGCGGTTGTTAAGGTGTCTCTATGATTTTCTGTTGTCTAGATATGGATCTGCTCCGTCATATAACCATTGTTGGGGAAAGTTACTTTTAAAAGTAATGCGTTACAATATTGCGTTACTTCCTTAAAAAGTAACTAATTATGTTACTTAGTTACTTTTTATTGAAAGTAATGCGTTACATTACTTTTGCATTACTTTTTAAATCTGGACAGGGCTTGCTTGTTTGCTTTTAATATAAAAAGTTCTATTTTTGGCAAATATAAAAGCCCTTTCACAGCAAAAGCCTCAGGCTGAAGGAAATGTAAATTCACGTCTGTACAGTAGAACACAGAAGAAGAAAGTTCAACACTCTTCAGCAATAAAAGAAGAAGAAATGTTAGCTTATCTTGTGTAATTTGTGCTTATTAGTATGGTTGAATTGGATCACTGAAGGTCAGCAGCAAATTGGTTAATAAAATGGGATTAAATACATAAAGGATATTTGTATAATTTAACATATTTAATTATTGCAGCTTTGCGTCATATTCTGAGTTGCTTTTAACTGTTTTTATTAATTTTGAGGAAAA